ATAAAGCATTAAACATTTTGACGTTCCGTACACACCGTCCCCAGTTAATCAAAGAGCTCCCCAGTGGAGGACTGGTTTCCTACTGAGAATCTAAGGGTGCTTAAATATCCACACCCTGGCTGCTGCTGATCCTCAGTCTGACTTGGACGTCCTTCCAAAAATCCCGTCCTCCACAATCAATGTGTGCTTCACTCTCTGATATTAGGTCACCTTCAGCACCTCTCTCTCTCTCATTTGCCTCCTAGCCTACTTTCTCTTTACACCCCCACCCTGTCGTCACACATACACACCCACACACACACTTCAGCATCTCGTATTGGGACAGCTCACCGATGCTCATCCACAGCTCTGGCTGTTTTTCTTAAAACATGGAGTCACTTCATGTTGTAAAGTTAAGTAACTCCTAATTAAATCCATGTGGGTTGTTTCTTTTGTCCCTTAAAACATCTCATCAGTTAAAGCAGCAATTAATTCAATCAGCTAATTGAAAGTCATGACTGTGTGTCATCAAAGATCATGACAGAGATACATTTTTTTAAAAGTATTTCATCTGATTAACATCATTGCTAAAAACGATAAAGCCCACTTTCTGGAGAGAAGAAGATTGATTTACAGCAAAATGATGTTATGGGTTAGACCTTCACCAACTGGAACAGAGGAGAAAATGATCAAGGAGTTCCAGCTGAAACCAGGATTTTACTGAATGTAAAGATTCTCCCTGTCTGACATGAATTCAGACCAATTTTATTTACATCTTTGGGTCAGTTAGGATTTCAGCTCTGTTCTCCAGGAATGTTTTTTTCTAAAAGGGAAACGTTTTAAACTGTCTGTCAGTATCTTGTGTCTACACAGGAACTGTTTTAGAAGAACTAAAAGGCTTAAAAAAAAGAAAAAGGTTGTAGTGTGAAAGTTACTTTCTTGTATATTCATCTGGACCTAGAAAACTCCTCTAAAATGAACTATAACCCTAAAAGAGTCAAACATAACAACAATGATGGATTCCATGTTGATGGTGTTGCAGTCGAACACTTGAAGAACTTCTGCCACAGTTGCAAAGAGTTCTACTGAACATCCAGCTTTGTTGTTCACTGTTCTTGTGGACGCTCCCATCTTCTCCCATCTTTCTGCGTTAACCAGATTCCTCCCTGTAACCTGATTTATTCTGCATCACTTCTCTTTCTCAGACTCTTTCTGAGTCATGCTAAAACCCGTTGGCCTTTAGCCATCTTGTTTTACTGATGGTACGTTCATTGTCCCATGGGACTGAATGAGAAGTAGGTTCAGTATCTCCTCATCCTCCTCATCCTCCTCATCCTCGGTCTCATCTCCCCCTCCTGTTATCACCTCCGTTTTACACACAACATTAAGCAGGAAGACACTGTGTCTGCTTTGCAGTGATTACTGCACTGATGATGTCCCAGAGCAGCAGGGAGACTCATAAAAAATCACATTCAGACTCTACAGAGCAGCAGGAGACATGATCACAGCCAAATTCTGGTCAGTGTGACATGTCTCCACTTACAAACTCACAATTAAATCTACGCATCATGTCAGAGACATGGAGCAGGACGGGATGCTCTCTGCTTCACTTTCAGGTTTCAAAGGTGAAATGACATAAATCATTTCATTATGTGTCCAAACTGTTGATCTACCATCATTTACCGCAACCATCACATTAGATTCCTTTCATTATGACATGTGATAAAAGGTACTCTTTTAAAATAAAACACCATGATGATTCGACACATTAGAACAGAAAACCTCACATCTACCTTCAGTTTTAAACCTATTTACACATTTTGGAGATGTTCCTTCTTCCCAGTGAGTAATTCCATTCATAGGGAGTGGAGCATACATCCCCATGTTTAAAGAAACTTATTTTTTGCTTGTTTATGTTTGTTTATGTTTGATATTCCAGCTCCTTCGAAATTCTCTAATGACCCCAACAATCTGGTCCAAGTGGACCAGACATCCAAACCTGGCTGATAACTGACCACTGCTGCCAGGCTTCTCCAGCGCCCAGCGACCGCACACAACAGGAAGCTAAAATGATGATTGAAGCAGTCAGGAATCCTCCAGATCACAGCTTTGCAGACGTTGGCTAACAGGCCCCAGCTAGCATAGACAGATAGCGAGTCATAAACCCTATTTATTTATTAATCTATTTCAAACTGTTTTTCTTAACCAATGAAAGCAAGTAAAGTAGAATAAGAAAAAACATGTGAATATAAAACTAACAATGTAATAACCTTACCACTGCTTTTCAGTTTGAAAAGGAGTAAAAAGAAGTCAAAACTTATTTAATCTTACCAGTTACCAGGTTCTGGGTTCGATTCCCGGCCCCGGGTCTTTCTGCATGGAGTTTGGATGTTCTCCCCGTGCATGGTGGGTTCTCTCTGGGTACTCTGGCTTCCTCCCACAGTCCAAAAACATGACTGTCAGGTTAATTAGTTTCTCTAAAGTCTCCCTGGGTGTGAGTGTGTGTGGGCATGGTTATCTGTCCTGTCTGTTTCTGGCAACACAATCTGTTGCAATTGAACATTCGTATGAATACTATGTTTTTATTTAGATATTTCTGATAATTATATATCATTATACATAACGATATATATAACGACTCAGTAATTATCATTAATATCTAAATAAAACCATGGTTCTGTGCTAAAGAACCAATTAATAAATTACTTTACATACAAGCAAAACAACAAGAAATTGACTTTCATAACAGGACAAGCAAATTCACTGAACAACAACAACAACAACAATAATAATAATAATAATAATAATAATAATAATAATAATAATAATAATAATAATAATAATAATAATAGTTGTAAATAACAACTAACAGAATCAGAATAAGTGCCAAGTTTTTGGCAGTATAATATGTAATAAATCATCTTAGTTATTTAGCAAACAAATCAAATAAAAAACTATAATAACAATAATAACACTATTAGTAATGGTAATAGTAACACATCTTAAAGAAGGACAAGAGAAGCTCAACATATTTGTGTTAATCCTCTTCTTCCCTGCACATTGTATTGTAGTTTTGTATTTATTTTTAAACTGGTTTACTAACTGTTGATCATGAGTCAGTATTATTAACTTGTGAAAGATCAACCTGAGCTTTTATTGAAAAGCAGCCGTTGCTCCTCCTGTCCTTTGTGATCACAGTCATCGTTGTGTAAATCAGAGGAAACATTCAGACACAGATCAGTGTTTAGATAATCCATCCTCATCAATCTCACTCTTTAGACTCTGATGTTGCAGGAGAGGTGGGAGGTGCAGAGTGTTGTCATGGCCCTGAAAGAGCATCTAAATCTTTAATGATCTCTCTGTAACGGCTGAGCACTAGGAGCCAATGCCTGCTTGCTAGACTTGAGTCTATTTGTCAACTGGGTGTTTTTATAAAGACTCAGAAGAGGCTCTTTGTTCTGTTTCATAATCAAAAACATTTGTATTATGTTTTCATGCTGATTATGCAGACAAGTCGTGCTTCAAAGAAAAATAATGAAGTCTGGCTCTCTCACAGGTGTTAAGAGCTCCAGTAACCCAACATGAAAGCAGCCATGTTTCTTAGATCATAGAACATCTTCTGTCACATCCTTCCAGCAAATCTTCTGCTTCAGTCTGATGAAGAAATTACCAGAAATCAGAGAAGTTAAAGATACAGTTTTTTGAGCTTTGCATCATGTTAGAATGTTATTCCCTCCTCAAAAAAACATACCTGGAGTGTTGTCTTAATTGTTTCATGGATGTTTGAGAAATCATTTCATCTCCATGGCAACCATTCAGCTGTCCAAAACACTTGGTGGGACCTAGCACCACATTAGAGGACAAAGCTCCTCCTCAGAGCTGCAGATTCCAGGCGTCAGAGTTTCGGCCTCACAGAGCAGCAACCCCCCACAACTGCCCCACTCAGCTCCTTCAGACTAGCCAGCAGCAATTAGCAAACACCTGGAGGAACTGTGCATCTGCTGGGCTCATTATCTATCTATCTATCTATCTATCTATCTATCTATCTATCTATCTATCTATCTATCTATCTATCTATACACATACCTGGAGTGTTGTCTTAATTGTTTCATATAGATAGATAGATAGATAGATAGATAGATAGATAGATAGATAGATAGATAGATAGATAGATAGATAGATAGATAGATAGATAGATAGATAGATATCATATGTATGTATGTAGAAACATGTTGATCAATAGTTCTACGTACATACATGTGTAATCTCAGGTATTCATGAGAAATAACTGAGATTGATATCTATCTGACTACCTTTGACACTTTGATCTCAGTATGTAATTTTGTTAATCACTGCCTTTGCATTTATTTATAGTTTTCTCATAGCCAAACCAAACCTATGTCACAGCACATGTCTTTAGCATCTTTAACAGAACTAGTCTGTTTTTCTTTTGTCTTTGTTCATGTTCTGGTCTCACCTGTTCCAGCATCTGTCCATCATTTCATTCTCACTGATTCTGTCAAACATAACGCACAGAAAGTCAGTTGAAGTTTTATTTCTGGATGATATTCATCGGACAGCTTCTTCTTTTTTTTTTTTTTACAGCAGTTGGTCCTTAGTAGTAATCCAGGCAGGATTCCTGTCAGTAAAGAAAAGACTGCCATCCAGTGGCATGTAGTGGTCTAACAGCGGAAGGGATTTTTTTGAAAAAAAAAAAAAAAAAAAAAGCTAAAAAACAAACAAACAAAAAAACCTGTGAAGCTTTACATATTCCTGACATATTTTAGTGCTCAAATAGATTTAGCAGATGTACCTGACATCTATGCTCCATTTGGCTGGGAACTCTACCATCCATCCATCCATCCATCCATCCATCCATCCATCCATCCATCCATCCATCCATCCATCCATCCATCCATCCATCCATCCATCCATCCATCCATCCAGCTCAACAGGCTCAATGTGATCATGTTTCATCAACTCTGAACTTAAACTTAAAGGATTTCACAAAAAACAAACGATAGACAAAGAATATAACTTTATTTGTTCCATCACAAAAGTCTGTCTGATGTTAGGAATAATGAAACTATCTGTCTGTTGCCTTTTAGCTGCCTTGAAATTCTGATAACATGAAAAACCAAACTGGACCCTTACAGTACCAGACCAACAGAAAACATACAGAAAGCTCAGGTTTTTTAAAATACATGTTCAGATCCGAGCATGTTTAGAAATATCAGAGAAATATATAAAAGCAACAGGATACAGACAGTCTGGAGACAAAGCAACGATTTGTGATTTATAAGTCTATTGATGCCTCACTTTGACAGTTTTCTCCAGTCAAGCCATAAAATGTTTGCACACCCCTGTTAGTGGGTTCAAAATTAGACAATGATAAATCATCAGAACCTTTTATGTCTTTAATATAATTTTCAGTACTTCCTGTACAGTTCAACTGCAAAACCAACAAATCTGGTCCATTTCACATCTCCAGGAAGCTGGAGTTGAAAATTGATTTTACTTTTTCAGCATCACACAAGGTTCAAGCAGACATTCAAATAAACATAAAAATGGCTTCATAAGAAAAAAAACATAAATATCTGGCATCAGAGAGCAGAACTAATTCTGACAGAAAGCTTGTTGGGTCACCTGAAGAGGGCTGAGGATCAGATCCTCAGTCTGAAAACTGATTTCATCTCCATCTTGTTTCACCAAGAAAAGTAGAAAAGTTGAAAAGTCATGTATAAAATCCCTGTAAGGTTCTACCAAAAAGGTTAAATGCTGAAATGAAAGCAAAGGCTACATCAGCAAATTATTGTTTTAATATTGTAAACACTAGAGGTGGGCGAATCCATCCAAAGTATCAATAATATGGATCCCAAATTGGTATCAGGACTGGATCGATAAGTTTCAGATTCACTCTTGTAACTTTATTTCATTTTCATGCTGTAGTTTATCTACCTAAAAAGATTTTGCTTTGATCATTTTTGCACTTTGTTTTATAAAAAAATAAACACAACTATTCTGGTTTTCTATTGTTTTTGTGTATCATGTTAATATATTATTTGAGCATTAGCCACCTATAAACCTGTAAAAATTCTGTCCCAGGTTTTCACAAAATAGTTCAAAAGAAACATAAAAACAACTTAAGGTCAAAGGTTTGATGATATATCAAACCTAAATAATAAAAAGTATCCATATCGGTATCAATATCAATATTATTGATACGGGACATGGATTTACTTTGATTTGCATCAATAACAAGTAAATAGGTTTATTGACGTGTTTATTCAGTTAAATTATAATTTAGAACTGTCACATCAAAGGCTGAAAAGGTTTTGGAATGATTTGATAGTCTCATTTTTTCTTTTCACTCTAACAGGGGTTGTCTGTACTCTTTGTGGCCTGTTGGTTTTTCTGTACATATGTAGAAACAAAGGATATTTTCTGTAAAACTGAGACAAGCTCTCAAAAACCTTGAACACGACAGTCTGAAGTTCCTCAGCTGTCTGCAGCTGTCTGGAGTCGAAAGCATCGAAGCAGAAGTCCTGACAGAAAACAGAACAGCTAAAGCAGACACAAAGACCAAAACCTATCAGCAGATCAGATGATCTGTGTTGTTGATTCCAAACGAGTAGAAGCAGGACAAGGCGCGTATGAAGAGGAGGAAACCTCTGAGTCAGGAAATGAAACTGGATCTACCTCGAAGATTAACACTGATCACCTGGAAGCTACGGTAGCAAAGCGTTCAGGGAAGCCGTGGATTGGCTAACCGCTCTCAGAAAAGACAAGCTGAGCCTCTGGTGCCGAGTGAGAAAGCAGGAAGCATCAACAATCAGGTCCACCTTCTTTAAACTCCCCATCACTTCGGCTTCCCGTCTACACTGCGATCAATAATCCCTGCTGCTGGACACGCCCTGCTCAGCCCGCCGTCAGGTCGGGCTTCGGCGGCGGCTCCAGGCCCTCAGCAGCTTCGCTCAGCTCATCTAGTAGCTCTGTGAAGGCCGGGCGCCGGAACGACTCCACCTGGGAGCAGCAGAGACAGGAAGCTGCATGAGGCCACAGTCAGGACTGATCCAATCTGTCACTGTGCCAGGATGAACCCAGATCATTCATCAAATTCATGATCTCCATTTTATTTGCCTTGTAATCACCCCATAAAAATAAATAAAGTTTTACTCAGATACCATAACACCATTCATTAAACCAGAATATTACTGACATGCCCTTTCATTCCAGGAACTATCACTGAATCACATTATATAAATGAATTCAGCACAGACTGGTGTTTTCCAGCTTACATTTATGTTAATAGACATGATGATTTTCAGCTTGATGAAAACATGACATTTAAAACTAGAATATTACATCAGACCAATAAAATAAACATAATTTATTACAAAAATGTGGGTTTAAAGGTTGTTCTTTGCAAAAGGTAATTTTAATCTGACAAACGAGCCTCATCAGAAAGAATACTCAATTTATTAAATTGGACTGTTAGATTCAAACTTTGCATTCAAGTAACTGATTATTCCGATGATTAATTGAATAATCAAGTTAAAAAAGTCGACACATCCTGCAGACATTTCATTTAATCATTAAGCCTTTTTATACATCATCAGAAGTAAAGTAAGAGATGCAAATGTTCTTTGGGTAGAACATATTTAAAGCAAAAGTTTATCTTTATCTTAAATGCAAAATGTTTATATTTTTTTTGTTCAAATTTGGTCTAATTAAATCCTTATAAAAGGATGTAGAAAATACAGATAATTTTAATGAAGGGTTTCATTTGGTCACTGTAAAAACTTGTCCGTAGGAATGAGTGTGTGCATGGTGTTTTGTGGTGTGTGTCTCTGTGTTGTCCAGTAGTGGAGTGCATGTCCCGCCATGGTGACCCTAAATTTAATATTTTAATTTAAGTTCTGATTCGGAGCAGACAAATGATCATCTGACTCTTTTCTTTTCTTCTTTTCTGTAAGGATAGTTTCTTCCATCTACATACCATGCAGCAGCTGGCTGCTAACTCCAGGAGGCGCTGTGGGCAGTCAGGAACCAGCTCACCAAACGCCTTCACATCCAGCCCGTAGTCCTGAAACACACCAACAGGATCATCACTGAGGCCAGGATAGAGTCCAGTGAAACATTCATGTCTGAGCACTGCTGGGTAATCCCTGCAGCTGGTGGTTCTGGTTCTGGTCTTTACCAGGGTTCTGGTTATAGTCTATCCCTAGGTTCTGGTTCTGGTCTGTACCTGGGTTCTGGTTCTGGTCTGTACCTGGGTTCTGGTTCTGGTTCTGGTCTGTACCTAGGTTCTGGTTCTGGTCTGTACCTGGGTTCTGGTTCTGGTCTGTACCTGGGTTCTGGTTCTGGTTATAGTCTGTACCTGGGTTCTGGGGAGGATCTCTGGGTCGGCCGGGATCCTGGCCAAGATTTCACACAGAACGATGCCGAAGGAGAAAACATCCACCTGAACCAAGCAGCAGATTAATCAAACTGATGTCGACAACATAAAGCTCCACATTTCCATCTGTCAGTTCGGTGAGTTAACACCTAGTGGAGACTGAGAAAGGATGACCTGGATGAGTCTTCTTACACAGTGCCAGTGTTGACATGGACTTCATATGTTGTGGAATATTATAACATAGAAAATGTATCTCTGGCATTAACAGTTTTTAAAGGCTGCTAGTGGAAAGTGTCCACTTCTAACAGAGCGAGTTGAGCGATCATTTCCAAGGCTGGGTTTATGCATCAGAGCAGAAAGAGCTACATAACTATCACCTCGGAAAATCTAAAAATACAACTTAATACAATACATTAATTTGAAACATTAAAGCATTTAAAGTAGAAAGTATCCAGACAGGAAGTTTATTATAAATTTTGTAGGCCTTATCATAGAGGCTGTGGGTTCCAAAACTTCCTTAGTAAGAGAGCAGACAGGCAGTACGACATGGCTGTGAATATCATCCATGAAGATTCCAAACAGAAGATGACAAATTTGACCTAATTTCATAGTAAACACACATTATTTTTGCTTCAGCCTGCAGCAGGTTGTGATAAGTCAAAAGAGAATCCAAAATAACTCCTAGATATTTATAAGTCGTGACAGCAGAAGGAGGTTTGGTAATGAAACGTCTCTTTTTCTACATGAGAAAAAAATTCATGCACATAGTTTTTTTTATATATATTAATAGTCAAATAATTATCTTGTAACCAGCACTGAAGTTGCTGAAGATCTCCATATAACTGACTGTTAGATTGAATATTTGAGCCAGATAAAAAATAAAAAAGAACAGTAGCATCATCATGTATTAAAGCTGCAGTACATAACTTTTAGAAAAAAAATATTTTTTTTTTTACATATTTGTTGAAACTGTCATCACATTATGACAGTTTGGTATGAGACAGATAATCTGTGAAACAGTTGAGCTCCTGCACCTTCTCCCTGTGATGACTAGAAACAACCAATCAGAGCCAGGAGGAGGGTCTTAGAGATGTCAATCACACTGTGTGTGATTCTGCTCATTTTACTTCCCCTATGCTCTCTGCTACACTGCAGCTAGCAGAGCCTGTGCTGAATGCTCAGGCTAGTTTGCTAACTAGCCTGAGCATTCACCATAGGCCACTAATGACCACTAATGACGGAGGATAAACGGTTTTCCTGTAACAGTAAGTTTTCCTGTAACAGTAAGTTGTTTCTCTACCATTAGCATGCTAATGGTTGTTTCTCTACCATTAGCATATTTAGCAGTGAGTACATGAGATTGATTGACAGTGCTAAGCCCCTCCTCCTGGCTCTGATTGGTTGTTTGTGTTCAGGTGCTTCAGAAGACAATGTTAGCTCAAGGAGGAAGTGGAGGAGTTTGAGCTTTTACAGATGATCTGTCTCACAGCATACTGCAACAACATGGTGACAGTTTCAACAAATATGTAAAAAAAATTTAGAGAAGCTACATACTTCAGCTTTAAAGTATTGGAGTGCTTATATATTTTGGGAAGGTCATTAATGTATAATAGAAAACACATTGGGCCCTAGGAAGAAAACTTTTCCAATGTAGAAAAGTTTAAAAGAAGTCCAGTTTTGTAGGGGAATAGAAGCTCACAGGAAGAATGCTTTAACTTCCTGCACACAGAACTACAACTCCTTCCTGGGAAATGACTGAGGACTCACCTTGCGGTCGTATGGCTCTCCTCGGAGCATCTCGGGGGCCATCCAGAAGGCCGAGCCCACCAATGACAACTTCCTGCCAGTATCCTTCACAGGCAGCTCCACCACTTCCCTTGCCAGCCCAAAATCTGTCACCAAGGCCTCCCAGCCCCGCGGAGTCACTCGGACCAGACAGTTCTGGAGGGACAGACAAGAAGAGAACCGCAACGTGAGAATCTGACAGCAGAGGGCAGCATATATGTACAACTTAAAAAAAATAAAAGCTTGATGGATTCATTATGTCATCATTGTTAGAGAGATGTTTTCATGGAGAAACTTCACATTTATCTGTCATCAAAGGCTAAGAGGTTCTGACTGTCAGAACCTTTTAACTTCACTAAATAATTCAACCGGACCACATGCAGAGGCCAGACCCAGTGGGCCGCCGTGGAGCAGGGAAACCTCCAATTCACTGATCAGCTCTTCATCACTCATTTTGCTCTTTAATAAAATGCAACAGCTTTTAATGGAAACAGAACCTGGGCTGTTTACAGTGTGCGAGCAGGAGGTGTGATGACAGAGAGAAGCAGGAAGTGGGAGATATGATTGCATAACATTAAGTGGTCCCAGATATGTGTGTGATGTCCAATGGGAGCTTTTCATGTGGATTGATGGGTGAAAGCGGGTTTGCTCTGTGTGCGTTCAAATGACGTGGTTGTAGTCTGGCTCGGATCCGAGAAACCTCTTCCCTCTGCTAACCTTTCATTACGAGGCCTGACGGAGGGAAAAACTTCACTTCAAGACCTGAGATCTAAATTTAGCAGATCCGTTTAGTCACTTCTTTGGCAGTAAAATCAACAGCTTTGGAGACAGAAATGGAAAGAACAGCAGACAAAAGGAGGAAACCCGAAATCTCCAAAGAGAACGGCGACTTCTCACAGCTTCACAGAGTCTGCGCCAGTTCAAGGAGTCATTTCAACGTCACGAGTCGCGTTTCATTTAACAAATGTGTGCAAAACTTTGTCAACATTCTGCCAATGTTGGTAAAAACACAATTATGCAACTGCAGTGTTTCCATTAAATAAGAAACGCAATTAAAATCACACAGGAATAAATTTGTTCACACGATAAGTCATTAAAAATCATGTTACGCCGTCGTCCTCCAACTACTTCCTGTCATCGTCTTCTTCATGGTTTGCGCCAGCGGCAACATCCGATTGTTGATCATGTGATTTGTGTGATGCAAAAAAGTGTTTCCATTGCAGTTTTGCGAAATAAACTGGTTTACTTCACAATAACAATAACCTCATCCCACAAGTTTTTATTGAACAAGAGTTTTTTCCAAAACTGTCATGGTTTCATAAAGCAAATGTATTTTTGAAACTTTAAATTGCAGTCTATAGAAACACAACCATTGACATTTAGGAGTTTTGAAACCATGTAGTCTGAAACTTTATATATTTACCAGATGGTGCTCAGAACTGGATGATTTTCTAGCCTGATTAAACTCATAGTAAGAACCTTCAAAACTATGATCTAGTTAGTGTTTTGTAGTAAATGCACTATAAGTAAGCATTATCAGATCTAACAACACTCTTCAGTGTGGATGCTATGACTAAAAAAAGGACTGAGGTAACCATTTTCACAATCTTTGAGTTAACAGAGGTGAACACAAGAGACTGAAATAATACTGAGCAAATAAATGTGGTAATTTATTGTTTTTAGAGTTTAAACATTTTTGCCGCAGGAGCTGAGATCAGCTCAAAAGTACTTGTGGGCCCAAAAGAGTAAAAGTCAAATGAGTAAATGTGGTCCTAGTTACTATGACAACAGAAGGAAACCAGAAATCTTTGAAAAGATGATTACTTTATGTTGCATCTTACATATTTGTAAGTACATTTTAACTGAAAAGTCAAACTTTTGTCAAAATGTATTAAATTTAGTACTACGCTGTGGTCATAAAATCAGTCCAGGGCCACAAATGGCCCTGGGGCTCCAGTATGAACACAATGGTTTAGACCATTTTCACTTTGTCTACAGAAATCCAAACGTTCCATTCTATCTGGATCAGCAGGTTTTGCCTTGTAGAGGTTTGATGCAAACCAACAACTCTAGAGAATTAGACTGGAGCCAAGTGAGGAGCCACTGGGTGACAGCCAACAGTCTGCAGTTAGCAACAATCTATTAACATAACAACAGAGGCTGTCATGATGTTGCTTTGCATTTCTGGTGGCTTCTTCTGGAAAGCCTGGCAACCGGAGGAGAGACAGCACCTACACACAAGTTCACCCACACAACAATTTATGGAGGCTCTTCAAGGCCTCATACTGTCACTGAGAATAAACACGCAAACAGAGACTTCCTTCAATGTACAGCGAAGGGTCAGTGCTGGAATTAATTCAGGTAAAATGCAAAACAAACTATAAACATAGAGCTGGACAGATAGAGACCCCCTGTGCAAATATTCATATCTGTGTGCTTACTTCCAGTCTCAGAGCTAAAGTCATGCTGTGGGCAATAAGTGTATTATTTCCACAGCATATGGGTCACACTTCTTTCTCCTTAATTTATACAAGAACAAGCATGCGGCATTAAGCAGGGAGGGAATAGAAAGCAATCTTTTATTCAGAAAAGAACAAAAAAGTCAAGATGCATCAGATATTTTTTGTCATGATAGCCACGTTCTGAAGCAAAAACCTGGGTACATGAAGAGGAAGACGCGTTTAAGTCATGAACCAGAACTAGTGGAAAATTACACAAAAGTAAGCCCAGCTGTTGTCTAATGTTGCCCTCAAAACATTAAGTAGACAATATTCTGAAAACGTGTCTCATAAACACAACTGAACTTGTTCAGAAACGCAGTAAAACCATAGAAACATGAGAATACAGATGGTCACATAAAAATCTGCTTTAACAATAACTTCTGAGAATCAAGATAAAACACATGAAGAGAGAGGGGTGTGTGGAGCAGTTCGGGGTACAGCTGGCAACTGGTGGCGTGGAGGGGGGTGGCAAGGACCACTGAATAATGGAAGCCTAGGAAACACTATCAGCCAAATTATTGCATTCATTTCATTAATTACTTACATATATTTTAAGACGTTAAATATTTTGACACAGTTAATGAAATTTTCTATTTTAACACACAAAAGCCCTGAACTGGAACCTTTGTATTGTGTTTCTGTTACGCCTGAAAATCTGACAGTTTCTTAGTTTGAGTCCCCAATAATTTCAAGATGAATGTAGATTATTTTAAATTGCTTGTTATTTGTGAAACATTTTATTCTAACTAAACTGAAAGTGGACTTTTTGATTTATAATTCCTGGTAAGTAACCAATCAGTTCTTGTCCTGTCTGATGGGATGACTCTGATGTGTCATCACACCACCAGTCATTACTTCAGTACTCCGTCAAGTGTAAAAATATTTCCAAAACTCAGGTTGTTGGACATCGTCTCCAGTTTTGATGACAGAGCTGTCTGAGTTCTGGTTGGAGGTCTGGTGATCTCACCTTTGAATTCAGATCTCTGTGGTAAATGTTCTTGTAGTGCAGGTAGATCATTCCTCTGCTGATGTCACAGGCCAGGTCCACCTTCTCTCTCCAGCACAGAGGAACATCTTTCCTGGCCAGAAGCTCCTCCAGGCAGCCGCCGTTTACGTACTGAAACATGCAGCCAGTGTTCAGGTTAAGGGCTGCGTAAGAAAAACGCATCACACAAACAGAAGTTTACACCTAATGGGTGATAAGCCCATTAGTATCATGTCTGTCCTGAAGGCACCCAGAGGGAACAAACACAAGATTAATTGGACCAAGTGACCTAAACACACTACATAGGTTGATCTTGACGATGTGGATGTTTTCACTAACAGAACTGTGAGACTCACTTCTGGATCACAAGTACACCACTTTAAAAAAAAAGCTAAGAAAATCCAGAGGATTTGTCACTTTGGACAATGGAGTTAAACATGTGAGCTTTTGTCCAGTCAGTGGACCTTCATGGTCCACAGTGAAGACTTGCAGGTCATGAATCTCAAACCTTCATCAACAGGCGATTATCTGCTGTCTGGCCAGTAAGGGTGCACCAATTTATCTGCAAGCCGATTTTCATAAAGAATTTCTTTAAAAAATGATAATGAAGAATTCACATTAAAAGTAAGAAACTAGAACACATTGGTTGGATGATAACAGTTTCATGGTGATCATAGTATATCAGATCAACATTTCTTATTTCTTGTCTTCGTAATAGAAAAAGCTAATAACAAAAAATGTATTAACGACAAACATGAGAAGCAGAAAGCAGAACTGACCTCCAGGATGGGGTACAGTTTGTCTTCTTTCACACAGATACCCAGATACCTGAAACAAAGAAGGGATTTTATTTGTGCCTTTATTCCTAAGCCTGTTAACTCACATACGGCAGTGCTGACTTTTGTCTGTCTGGTAATTATTAACATATCATATTGTCACCTTCCTGAAATAATGGCTCAAGTCATTTTTTTTGCCAAAAAAGACTTTTTTCCCCCATAAATCATCTTTAGGCAAAAAGATAACATACCGAAAAAAACTTTATTTTAGACAGGTGACCATTTTATTAAGACCGTGTCTCATATTTTTTAAAGAAAATTATGTATGTTGTCTGAAAGTTAAGGTTTTGTGTTTGTCATAATGGATAAGGAAAGGAAAAGGCCACATGTGGAGAGACTGTCTCAAACTACGTTGCTCTCAGCAGACTAAGGAGGTTTTAGATGAGCCGTGGTTGTTGAGCTGAGGGTCGGTGCTTTCACCTGACAACGTTGGGGTGAGAGAGCTTCTGCAGCAGGCTGATCTCTCGCACGATGCTGTCTTGGTCCACATCATTTTTGTAGATCTTCACTACCATCACCTTCCGCGTAGTGCTGTGAACCACCTGAGAAGCAGCGGCATGCTTTAGACAGAGGAAACCCTTCCTGTTTGCTTTCTGAAAGCCGTCTCAGTAGACAACAACTATTGATGCGCCTCAAGAAAAATGAAAAGCAAAAGTAAGAACAAGAAGGACTGGTTAAAACATAGATTGGTACGACTGAGTGAGAATGACGCACTTCACTAAGTTGTAATTACATTTCCAAATAACAGAAGCAGGAAGAAGTAAAGTTAACTGTGATGAAGAATAATGAGGATGAAAAGAAGAGGCTTTAAAATGAAGGTGAGAAAAAAAACAGTTAAGACAGAGAACAAAGTCTGCTTCTCAGCCGAGTTCTGCCTGGACAAATTCAACCTCTAATTATTCCAAATGAACTCCTCAAACTAATTCCAGCTCATTTCATCAGCAACATTTCTGACAGCTTGCTCTCCCTGTTGCTGCGCAGCAAAATTAGCTTCAAAATGAGAATTATGTAAGGTGGGAGAATTTTGTGCCCACACAGTTTCTAAAGCTGGTGGGCCAATCACAGAATGGCAAGAATGTCCTTATTAAGAGGCTCAAACAAAGCCAGCTTTGATGGCAGCTCAGATGCAGAACAGCAACGTGTAAACCAGGGGGAGGACGGCGAGACGGAATACCTTGTAGACTCTGGAGAAGAATCCGCTCCCGATGAGTTCAGCTCGGAAGTTTTCCCAGAACTCCAGTTTGCGTACGGCTGTGCGGAGCTTCTGCCAGCGGTCCACATGGCAGTACCTGTCTGAAGACTCGCCATACAGGGTGGGACTGCTGGGCTCTGAGGACGAGTCCACATCACACATCCTGGAGACGTCTGCTGGGAAAAAGAGAAACACGCAGATGTGGGTCGTCATGTGCATACAAAAACTCTGCTGCACAGCATGTAAAATTACAAACAGGATGCTAAGTACATCAAGCAAAAAAATCATAAAAGAACAACATGTTTAAAAACAGATATTTTAATTATTAGTTTTGTGACAGCTTGAAAAACTGAGAATTTACAAGTATGTCGGCAAAGTTACTGGGGCCCTACACATGTGAAAAATGAACATAATTCAGTTTTATTAGCATTTTACTCAATCTGATGTCTTCATTGTTGAAGCAGAATTTCCACTGCAACTAAAAACCGATCAAGGCGTCACAAAAGAAGACAAGCAAAAGGGCAATTTATGCATTTATCAGCATGAAAGCGACCCTGGATGAAAGAGAAGCTCATGAAAGGCCCGGCCTCACCATCCACTTATTAACTGCATAGATAAGGCAAAGTGCTTCCACTCTACAGGCAGAAACAAAGATGCTGCATCATGTGAGGTTTTAAAAAAAAAGGCTGAGATGATCATTCACCTCAGGCAGAGACTTGTAGCTGTGATTTTTTTATGGTAGCGCCTTGATGAAGAGGGGAAACGTTACGTCTCTGGATAATCTGGATAATATTACAAAATTATACATTTTTATTCAAAAGGTTTCAGTCTAAACTTCAGCATGTCTTTCCTCTCATACATGTACATGAGCGTAGATGTTTTGTGAAATTTATGTGTTTGGTGCTTGGATGGTTCTGAGTGACCTGGTGACATCATAATGTAGAGCTGTGTATCATCTGCATAGTTATGGCAGCTAATCTCATTTTGTGTGATAAGCATATAGATATTGAATAACAGGGGTAAACATTCTCCACGTGACTTCGATGAGATGCTACATATTGAAACAAAGGAATCAAAACAAAGGACAGTCAAAGTGTTCAATGACATCCATATGAATAACATCCACCACTGTCCACCAATGACATCCATATGAATAACATCCACCACTGTCCACAGTCTGTGGATCTTCCACAGACTGTGGAAGATCCACAGTGCTGGTTCTGTTGGACCTCAGTGCAGCATTTGACATCTTATTGAAATGACGGGAGAGTAGGGCAGAACACTCTGGTCCAGTACTAAAGAATACATAACGCATAAAAGGCCATTCTCAGTACGGTGGTGAGTACAGAAACCAGACTGAAAGACACCAAAGCAGTTAGTTATAGTTTGAAAGCTATTTAACTGTTTAAACAACTTCTCCAATCATTTTGCTGATGAATGGAAGGTTGGAGATCGGCCTGTAATTCTGCAGTAGGAAAGTTAAGGAAAGTTGTCAGCATGACATCAAGACAGCAGAAAGAGGAGCTTAATGAATAGCTTTTATATTTAAGTAGTTGAAATTGAGTTAATTTTTTCTGCATTTATTACGTCTGGGCATAGTATTGATATTCGATTTAGTGTGGATGTGCACATTAATCTTCTATTTTTTTATTTTCTCTGCAAAGAAGTTGGCAAATTCATTGCAGGTCATGTTTGGTGGTTTGGTCACAGGAGGGTTTGTGAGCCTGTCAACTGTTTCAAATAAATCTTGAGTATTGTTAATGTTTTTTTTTTGTTTTTTTTATGAATTCCCCAAAGAATGTTCCCCTAGCATGTTTTAGTGTTGAGTGATAGCTTTGCTGTCTTTGTAGATTTCATAATAAACGTGAAGTTGAGTTTTACATCATTTACATTCGGCCCAACGACAGTTTGCACATGTCTCCATAGAGATTTGTTTCTACCAGACACTATCTACACCTCAGTACAACCAGTAATATCTGAAACTTTAGAATGGATGTCATCTACCAACACACCTACATGATTACAGCATAAAGGTGAGGAGGAAGAGAAGATTTGATTAAAAGTTTCTGCTGTATTGTTGGAAAAAGAGCGTTTTGAAATAGTATCTGTTCTACTAAGTGAGTCAACAGTGACTGTACTTTCAAAGATAACAGAGAATAAGTGTGCCTGGAAAACACTCAGGTTATCTTTTGCCTGATTAAAATGAGTTGGAGTATCCAAAACGTTTTTTTTCACAACACTATATTTCTTTGGTTATTCTCAATAAACCTTTATTTTCACATCTTTTTCCATGTTACTGTAATTTTTTTTGTGCCTGTGCTGAATCATTAATTGTAGCTGAAACTTTAATAATAATTGTTCTCCTCTCAGGTGAGTCCTGACTTGCCTTCATCCTGACCTTCGCTCGGCCATAGTGAGCTAGCGTGACAGCAGAGTAGGTCAGACTCTGTTCACTCTACAGTCACAATGACGGCGGTGGAAAGCGCACGCTGACACGCTAACACAATCAACAGGCTTTTAACAATCAAGTCGGGGGACTCACCCCCAGCTATTCATGCTGCTTTTGTTCATTTGGCTTCAGACTAAACAATTATAGCTGAAATGCTGTCAGAGAGAAATGCTTACAGTGCAGCCATTGAATCTGTCACTCTGTGCCTCTCTTCTCTCCTTTGTTTTGTCATCTTGCCTGCTTTTCTGTCCTGGCTGTTTGTTTTTGCTTTGATTTCTTCTCAAGTGATAACTTTTTGCACTTTGTTCATGAAGGACAAGATACACACAAATATGTTTTTCTATTGTTTCAGTTTGTCATGTTAATATGCTAAGTAGCGCCTGCAGCTGTACAGCTGTATACACTCTGCATATCTTGAGATTTTCCTCTAAATAAAAAAAATGGAGAAATTATTGTTATTGGAATTATAGTTATTGGATTTTTTTATGATTTAAACCTCTTTACCATTAACAAAATTGTGGAGAAAAAAGTTATTTTGTGTCAAAACATCCTGTACATAATCCACATCTGTATGCGTCTGTAGGGTGGGCACCTGGCCATCCTAAACCTAAGTCTTATTGGTCAGTTTACTTTTGTTTATTAGGTGGCTTGGTGATCTTTCTGTAAGCTAAATGTGACTATACAGTGAAGCTAGCTAAAAATGAGTAACTGGCTTGTCTCTCGCAGTCCTAAGAGGGGTTGTGTGAATTTTTTACGTTTGCGTGGTTATGGCTTGGTTGCCGGTTTCACACCTTTTTATTGGGGGGGGGGTTCCCAAACTGAAGAGCTGACGGGTCACTCATTTGGCCAACAGTGACATCTGCTGCGCTCTTCCTGAGCATCGCGCTAAGACTGCAGGAGAGTTAAACTGTGTTCTTGTGGGTCAGGTGCAGTGATAGTTTTGTACCTATCCTCCCTTAATATCCTGCAGTCACCCCTGAATATGTTATTCATTTTTCAGACACCAATAACTTTGTCCAAATTCAGTACTATTTATTAACAATGTTTTTAAAGGAAGCCCATAAAAACACCAAGAGGTCAAAAGTTTAATGGCGTCAAACTTGAATTATATTGGTATCAGTAATACTGGGGCTATTTTTACCGACACCAAATATTTAGCATCGCATACCTCTAGTGTGAACAACAGAACCTACTGCTTTCTGTTTCTGCGACTAATTAAATTCAAATGAATTAACTTTCTAAAAGAAAATAAGAGATTAATTTACAGAATAGTATTTCTACGTTTTGGTTTCCACTTCGTCTCTCCATCCAAACATGGGGACCTTATCTCTGACACCATGTCTGGGCCAGAAACTGTTCTTTTTTTGAAAGTTTGGTTCACTTCATACTGAAGTTACATTACACCCAGGTGGACTCTAATTGGTTACATGGTGACTTCTGAGAGCAATAGTTTGGAGCAAATTTCATTTAAGGGTGTCAAAGCAAAGAGGTCTGGGTATACATTACTCCAAATATATTTTTGTTCCATTTTTGTTGTGTCTGTATAAAATCCCAACAGAATACATTAATGTTTTGAGGCATCGGATGGCCTGGCAACAGCTTGATCTGTCTGTTTTTCTTTTCTTTACAGACTGAGTGGGAAGGTTAGACAAACAGTGAGCACTGAGCCTGACCTGTCAGGGCAAACAAGTAATGCCAAGGTTTTCAGAGACCAGATGGTGACTTCCTGGAAAGGCTTCCACAGCACCCATTAAAGTTCCACTGCCAACACCAAAGCAAGACTGTTTTCCCTGGAGCTAAGTATACGAACATGAGGACTATGCAGAGTCCTCCTGCATTTTACTTTAAAGTACATGTCCTGTTTGAAGTGGTCAGGGGACATCACATCATGAGGTGATGTCAGGGTGGTTGAATCTAAAATTCTCACTGGAAGTGATCATGATACAAGTCACGTGTGTGGAAAAAAAAAAAAAACTAAGCTGTGTCTCATTCCACCAAGAAGGTGTAAATAATACCAGCGACACACATAGCACTGCCTGACTGCCTGGCTGTCGTCAGGCAAGAAGCACTTAATAGAAAATGTGGACTCTCAGTCCATCTTTTCTTAGTTAAGACACTGCAGACTGAAAACACCCAGCAGGCCGAGCAGTATAATCCTGAATCATCTACAGCAGGGGTGCCCAAAGTGGCTCCTCGAGGGCCTACATCCTGCACGTTTTAGTTCTTTCCCTGGTGATAGTAACAATCTTTTCAGTATGTCAATTGTTCTTCTTAGACCTTCTAATGAGCCATCAGTTGATCCAGGTGCGTTAAACCAGGGAGAGAACTAAAACATGCAGGATGCCGGCCCTTGAGGACCGACTTTGGGCACCCCTGATCTACAGCCATGCAGCCTCAAATTCAAAACAAAAAATCTACTAATCCCAGAGGGAAATTGAATGTTTTAACTTATATCACACAATTTTTTTCCCAAACCACTGACTCATTTTGTTATAGAGCAACATTCATTCACTGTACACTAGCATAGCTAGCATACAGAGTGATTCAAAGCACTTCAGTAGTAATGATTCCCAACCCAGAACAATAGGTGAGAGTTGGACTTTTCAGCTCAGCTCCTTTTCCACCAAGGCAAACCAGAGCACTGCCCTGAAAACACAGCAAACTCTGTAGACCAAACGACACGTTTCACCCAGGAACAGAGGACGTTTCTCGTACCAGGCCTGGGGTTGAGAGCATCCTAGTAACTTCCTGATGGTTGAGTCTTAGCTCCTGACTCATTTTGTTATAGAGCAAAATGAGTGAGGCCCAATTTAAGGCTGGCCCAGCCTTAAAAGAGCCACTGTAAGCCATCTCCTCATGGGCCCACCCCTCACAAACAGAAATGTTGGGGTCAGCTGGAACATGAGCCTGGTGGCAGGCAAGGTCAAGAGGCCTGTGCCTGCCACTTCCCATAATTACAAAATGGTTATTTGTGGATCTCCATGAGAACTGATTCCTCAGTAACACAAGTTATGTACAGGAAAAGGTGAACGGACCAGTCAGGCATAACATTATGACCTGCAGTGACACCGCTACTGGTGATGCACTGTGTACTCAGTAATTTGAACTACAGTGGTTTATCTGTTGGACCAAACCACATGGATCAATGTATACTCTGCATGTGCATCAGTGACCAGTTGCAGAAAACATCATGAGAGCCGAGGTTCTGGAGATGTTCTGATGCGGGTGTTACAATTTGTCAACACTTAAAGATTTGAGGACAATAATCTCAACTAGATATAAAGGGAATTATAAATAAAATTAGTTATTCTTATTCATATTACTGTTTACTTCTTGTCTTGTACATCCAGTTTAGGTTAGGTTTAGATTAGGTTGCACCATTTGCATCTTTCTTAGGCTACACCATTTTGTAATTTCCCTTCAACATTTTCATGTTTGGAGATTTAGAGATGAAATAATTCCCAGAGATTCCAAAACCCTAATGAGGATGGAAGCATTTAGACATAACTCTATTATGGCTGTAAAATGTCCTGCTCTGTGGTACACCAACTAATAAGTGGTTAGTGTTGCAACCCAAGCTCCATGGGAGACACAACAGTAGAACCTATGGGAAGGAAATGCAGCAGGGATACATCGTGGGAATGTTTAAACAATTTAATTTTGAGGAGATTATGCTAGCTACCACTCCCCTTAAATCAGTTTTCAAACCAATCAGAAACTTAAGAATTAAGAGACAGGGAAATAAATGTGGACTTTAATGATGCTTTTGAGATTTCAGTACTGTTCTCTGAATGTTGCATATTGAGACTTTAAGACTTAAGTCCTGCATTTAGGAACAATGTCCTGCAACTTCTTGGATGTTTCCAAATTGAATTCAAATCAGCTCAGTTCAATTGAACTCAAAAGGAAGTTGCATTTTGACAAAAAATACCAATGCAGACTAGAATGTAAAGAAAGTTGTGAATTGTATTAAACTAAACTCAATCACAGCGATAAAACACACCATCTATATGAGAAACTCCTGTTGTTCTGTTGGTGGCTTTAAACATCATAAACCACTGTTTTTTTTTTTTTGTGTTCAGGCCTTTAGGGAATCTGAGACTGTCCACCCCTGGCAGCTTCTATCTCTGTGGTTAGGCAGCGAGCTAAAAAAACGGGCAGATTATATTACACAACAGAGTGACGCCCCGACCGCTTTGAGAATGCCAGCAGACAGAGTGGGGATTTTTGTTGGGTTTTTTTTGTTTGTTTTTTTTCCCAGCACAGATAATTTCTCTCTGATAAACAATACGTCACTTGTACAAAATGACTGAGTGGGATGGAAAGGACGTCAGAGGTCAGGAAAATTGCAGAGACCACACAATGTATCGCTATTACTGTCAACAGTTTCTTACCACTATGACAGCCCAGACCTCACCCAGAACTCAAGCCGAGCTGCAAAGTTTGTCGAGTTCATGCCATGTAGGAAAAATCATTTTTCATGGTGGGGGCCAGTTCAGTTGGTAGTAATGGACCCAATAACCATTACTGGATCAGATTTCAGGCTGAGGCCACAACACCATGCTGCAGACAGGATGGTGTTGTGCAACCAGTGACATCACTAATTGTGCATAAGCAATTAGTGATGTCAATAATTGCTTCAAATACAGCAATACAAATAAAATACGCAAGTATTAGCATCTTACTGGTGGGCCCTGTCTAAGAAGCCGGGAAGTCAGTTGAGAAAGAAACACATTTATGATCTTTGTTTATCTGGAGTGATAACAGTAATAATAACTGAGGAGAAAAGTCCATAACTCAACACAGGATTAGGATGGAGAGTCAGAAGGCAACAGGGAAGCTAACTGCAACACAGAAAGCAACTTTATTTTAACTTTAATATTTATCTGCCTCTAGGCAGAAAAAAAATAGAAACATCAGCAGGAATATTCAAAGTGTCATAAAAACACAGAGAAGCTGCTGGTGGGACTCAGCATCATTCATAGGAATTTATCATGAGGATAATAAATCAAAATTCTTTTCATAAGAAATTTATCATGATAAATGATACATGATAAGATAAATGTCCGCCCTTACTCAAACATCAAAAATTGTTAGGTTGTCCTTGAAGAACATTTGTACAAACTGTCATGACTGTCTCACCTTCACCAGTTCCTACATTATTCAATTATGACATATTGCAGAAATTCATGGATTTATTACCGTATTTGAGTTAAAATCATACTTCATGTATTATTATTTATTTAAACTCATATACTGGATCCATTATATAAAGAACTTGTTGACAGTTGTTTTTTCTAAAAACAAAAAAAAACATAGTAATAATGACAACAAAAAATCCCCCGAATAATTTAAGAACTTAAGAATATTTTAGGAGGCTTCAGCCTCGTAAATAAACCTTGTAATGCCACTGATCAGGAGTTTTATCACCAGAATTCACAAGTAGAGTTCAGTACATAGAAAGATAAACTGATTCACCATAATTTAAGTGCAAATGAGTTTGATTATAAGTACAAAAGAAGTAGGATAGGATGAAATGGCAACGAATGGATACAGCATGAGTGGGGGGGGAAATCACAGATCAGAGCATCTTTAGGTCATAATGGAGCATAACACCAGGGGAGATCATGAAGGATGATTACTGAAAACCATGATTTCCTACATAAAAAGGCCACATAGTTATGAAAAAGGGCCTGAGCGGAGGGCAGGTAACAGGACACTACTCTGACACAACGTCTCTGGACATGTTCAGACATGCTGGATGCTGAGCAAAATACATCCTATTTCAGGACAATGCAGAGCTAAACATATTTGCAGTACAGTGCGTTCATCTGCTTAAAGCAGCATTTCATCCTGATTAAACACTCAGAGCAGGCAGTGAGATGGCTGTGATCCAGAAACATCAGGGCCTGTCCTTTAACTAGGCCACGGTTCAGGGTCAGAGAGATGAGAGGAGCTGAGCATCAATCCAAATATTTTCTTTTAAAGACATTCCTGACAACAACACCTTTGGCTGCAGTAGAACAATAAACCTTAAAGTGTTTCACAGTAACTTTGTAGTATGGACCAACACAAAGTAAATATGAGAACTTTGACAGAAAAGTAAGACTTTTCAAACATAAAAATTAAAAAGTGTGATATCCAATTGTAGTCCTCCCAACCCAATCAAAACATTGTCCAGCCAGCTTTCAGAGAAATTAGACTTGCAGGTACTTTGGGGTTTTGTGTACGTCAACAGACTGATGTGCACAAGTTTTAGATTCTCACTACAAAAAGTATTTAGCATATGGGCCAAAAATATATTTGATTTAAGTTTGGTCTCATCTGATGTTCTTCTAACAGTTAGCTCTCACAGCAATGCTGGTGTGTTGCCTTGATTCTTTCATGTAGATTTAAGAAATCTTTATTTTCCTGTGGCATTATGAAGAAGCCGTTCTTCAACAACTAATAGTAAAGGAGTGCTCACTCAGAGTGGATAAGTACAAGAAACCTTCATTTTTAAATTCCTGAGTTCCTAAAATCACCCTAGAGCTGCTGGAGTTTATTTTTTTAAGAAATTCCAGAAAAAATGTTTTGTGTGGAAATAAACTTTTGATTACGAGAGTTTCTGGCTTGATCAATGTAATAAATGGACATTATCTTACACCCTCATTCCTAGTGGGGTCACCAGGGGTGCTGGTGCTTATCTCTCACGGTCAGCAGGCGAGAGGCGGGGTCACCCTGGACAGGTCACCAGGCCAATAACTTGACCTTAGACTATTTTATTTCAAGGTTTATTGCCTCTAGCAGCCTTTATTTGAGAGTGATTAGGCAGGAAAGTGGATAATGAGAGAGGGGGAAGACATGTGGCAAAGGTCACCAGGCCGGGACTCGAACCTGTGACATATGCATGGAGGACTTGGCCTCCATACCTGGGTTGTGCTTTGCCCCTGCAGCACCACAGCACCTGAACCTTTGACTATTTTAAAAGTGTCTTTGTGGACCTTTAAGATTTATATTTGAGTAACCCTGATCTACACGCTCATAACTTCACTGAATGAAGTGACAAGTCATGGATTACAAATTTTTGGACCCTTTAATTTGGATGAAACAACTGAAGTGCAAAAAATTGATGTCTATTTGAATTGTAGCTTCTTTTTTTTTACCTAGCCATATTTTCAAACATTTTTTAACTCAAAAACATGGTGGGCCTGTAGGTGACCCTATCACTGGGCTTTGCAGGTTTTCTGAGGGAGACCCCGAGTATCAGAATAATTGTGGCTGAATACAAGTGAAGTGCACACCACACTTTTTAGATTTTATCAGTAAAAGAAATTGCAAATCATCATCATTTGCTTCTGTGCTTATGCTCCTTAGTTTTGGTCTGGTACACCTAATCTGAGAAAAATGACAAAATGTTTAAAGGTCTGAGGTGCAGGAACAGTTTTATAAACCACTACAGTGTAAGGAAAGGCTGGAGAGCGTGTGAATACTTAAGTACTTACTCCACTGATTTAACATATTATTCATGTGCATCCTGTAGGTGGTGGGGGTGAAACCACAGGCCTCTGCAGAAACTGAGGAGGAACCACATACATGCAACAACAAATGAGGACAGACACACAACCACGAAGCTACCTAACACACAGCTGGCAGGCAGAACACAGTGACAGCGAGGGAGCAGGAAGGCTGACTGGCGTCTCACGTCTGCACCATCACAACGGAGATGAAATGTGTTAATACATGAAAGAGACAAGGGCGATGTCTGCAGAGCTTCAGTTACAGTTCAGTTTGAGTCCTGCAGCAGCCCAGCTTCATCACACCCTCACAGCCACGGCTCAGTGACAGGAAGCGCTTTCATCACGCTACTTCATCTTACCGACTACCAAACTAACAAGAAAAAAGCCAACTTTCACAGAGACTAAGACAAATATCCGACTTCCATGAAAAAATTAATTGTTTCTTATCCTGGACCTGGTTAAAATGTTAACTTATTAAAGAGGCAGTGTTATGTCAAATCAACTTTTGAGTTTTACATCCTGACATTTTATTTCCTTATGTTTATTGTTTTGTGTGGTCATTCAATAATCAAAAACACACATGGAGTGTTTTCTTGATACTTTCGTGCATGTTTGAGAAATCTTTTAATCTCCATGGCAACCATTCAACTGTGCAAAACGCCTGGATGAACCTAGCCCCGCCTTTGAAATGTAGCTCCTCCTCAGAGCTGCAGGTTCCCAGCTTCAGAGCTTCTGAAGCTGAAGCTGGGTGGGGGAGGGCTGCTCACAGAGCAGCCCTCCCCCACTCAGCTCCTTCAGACTAGTCAGAAGCATTTAGCAAACACTTGGTGGAACTGCATATCATACAGGCTACTTCTCAGTACAACGCTGGTAAAAAAAAATAAAAATAAAAAAGCATTGTTAGAAGGAGTGTTGTGATGACTTCCTGAAGGTGAAGTTTCAGAAAGAGAAGGAGTTTTAAAAGAGACGGAGGCCCAATTGCAAGGCATCAAATATTAAAGTCAAATTTATTTCAGGTCATAATTGATATATGCAGCACTTTTGTGACAACTGAAGGTAATAGTAACTTGATTGTGCTATAAAATGGCACTATAATACATAATACTGCCCCTTTAGACTGATTAAATAAAACTACAAATCCAAAGAGTCAAGACTGAAGAGGAACAGAACAGCCAGTTAGTAAGATAAAAGATTTGGAATATTAGTCTGGTTTAACTTTGCCATGATCCCTTTCACATATCCAGTGCTACAAAAAATATAATCTAGGTTCGAGGAAGAAGATCTGCACTTGAGACCAAACTTGCAAAGAAGTTAGGATGTTGCCTTGCTTAGAGGAAGCTGTTGCAAAGACACACAGGAGCAGTATGCAGACATTTAAAAGTTTCAGAGTCATGCACAAATATAAAAGTCTAAAAAAATTATTCAATAAGGTCAGTGTTGGGAGGCAGAACCTGGGAATTCTCTCCTCCCTTTCTCCTGTGGTTGAGCTCATTCAGATGGTCTACTGTCCACTGGGAGCCACTGCTGGGCAGCGTGTTAACTGGTCTGTGTTAACTGGTCCTGCATCATGTCAACTCACTCCACTTTTCTTCCTTTTTAAGGCTGATCTCTCTTGTTGGAAATAAAAGCCCAGAGTCAAAAGTTGCCCCTCCGTGGCAGAGCAGACTCACCTAGAATCAGCCTGTGCTCCGGGTGCAGCTGCAGGAAGATGAGCTCGGCTTTAACGTGTCGATGGGAGCGTCTCCTCTATCCGCGGCAGCCCGGTCCGTGTCTCCCCCAGCAGCGGGCAGGACGTCGCTCAGATCCCCGCTGCTGACTTCGGAGCGGTCTGTGCGGCTGACGGGCCCTCCTTCTGCGGTTGCCTAGGCAGCGGCTGCTCGAGAAGGTCGGGGGATGGAACTCCGCCCACACGGAGAACAGGACGCCGGCGCCTGGGGGCGGCCAGGTCGGACAAGTGCGATCTGCGGGTCTGAGCTCATGGGAATTTCTTCGAGGTCGATCATGTACAGTTCCAAGTTAGATTATTTGATTATTAATAAAAAAAAAAGAAAGTTTAAAGAAAAAAAGTCTATCCAGAAAGAAATGTTTCTTGTGCTGTAAGGTCAGCAAATCTGTAACAGGAGTATTAAATGGTAATGATGTAATAAATAAATAAATAAATAAATAAATAAATAAATAAATAAATAAATAAATAAATAAAAGATTTTTTTAATTCATGCAAAATTAGACTTTTTGATTAAGTTAAAACCAGAAGTTTATATTCACCGTCTAAAACACACATATAATCTGACCTAGCTTAATTTGCTTTAGCTCAGTTAAGCAAATTACTGGTTGAATTGAAGCGGCTGCAGGAGTTCGCCCTGCGGTTGCCGGTTTGATTCCCTCGTCGTTTCTGACCCTAAGCAAGACACTTCACCCACCTTGCCTCCTGGTGTTGGTCAGAAAGCCTCACATATCAGACTGTCCCAAGTGTTGCAATCGACAGAGAGTGAATGAGCCTTTTGAGATTTCAATTTGATATGAAGGGCATTATAAATAAAATAAATTATTATTATAATTGCCCAAATCATTGTTGTTTGTTTAAAAGCTACAGTTAGAGAAAGAATGTCAGGTATATATATATATATATATATATATATATATATATATATATATATATATATATATATATATATATATATATATATATATATATTTTATTTTTTTTTAAATAATTAAAATACTAAAATACTAAATTCTACTTGACTAGGATCAATGAGAATGGAAGTGTAAAGGATTTAATTGACTTTTTGGAAAGTACCTTGAGATGGCATGTTGTGAATTTTCACTAAATAATTAAATTGAAAATAATTAAAGTTAAAAGTCATTATGGTCCTCCAACAGCCTGGTGGCAGCATAGCAGAGAACTTGAGATGAAATAAGCTATTGTATCTGGAATCTTTATCAAAAAGGATCATTTTTACACACTTTTCTTGAGCTCACATGGAGTTTGGAGGTATATAGATATACACTGTACAAAGTTAGTGACCTCTGCTATTCAGGTGGTGATACTGACTGCTTTAGTATTGATCCAATACCAAGTAAATACAGGGATTGTGTCGCTAATACCAATACTTTTGATTTAAATTTGATATATCATCAAACTTCAGACCCGTTGTGTTTTTCCTTTGATTTATTTTTGTTCAAACCTTGGACAGAATTTGGACAAAGTTTGTAGCTATCTATAAGATACTCTACTAACATATAAACATGATCTGTGTGCAAATTATTTCCCAACTACACTGCAAAAAAATATAACTTGAGAGCAAATAAACAAAAATAAAAGCTTAGACACTAGATAAAATAAATTCAATCTGAAACTAAAAGTATTGATCTTACCATCCTAGAATCGATACTGACTTAGTATCAGTATCGATATTTCGGATCGATCCCCCCACCTCTACTCTTCAACCCACGTTCAACCCATATTCTCATTTTTTCCCAGAGCACCTTGGGAACTGAGTAATCTCCTGAGATGTTTAGTGAGATCAGCTTCTAGGCAACAGGTGAGTTCCATGTCTAGATGAGAATATATCAATCATAAGAAGCAGAAAGCAGTGGCAGCTGTTTGTGTTGTTCAGGATATAAGAGGTGGGAGCATTAGAGAGTTAAACTCCCACTCAGTCAGCAAGGGAAATGATTACAGTCTAGCAGAGAGCACAGAAACACCACGCAAACAGACACTGTGGACAGGGATGAATACAAAATATGGATCAATTAGGCTAATGACTTGCAGGGATCATATTTAAATATACTGGATTCTTCTGAACCAAGCAACAATAACTTTGAGGAGGAAGGACATTTCCAGAGCAGGTACCTGTGTCCTGTAGCCAAGTGGATTCAGAGCTGCCTGGCATGTTAAAGGTCTGCTGAGGTTCATGTCTGCCAACATTCAGTCACTGTGGTGAATAATGAGTCCCGAGGCGTTTGTTTCTGAGCCCACTCACCGGTTACGCTGCTGTAATCATCAGCAGCAGCTTTTAAAGCTGTTTACCTTTTCCCTTTCTCCACATCTCCATTTTATTTCTAATGTTTCTGTAAACATTAAGGACATTTCTGTAAAAACAGGGAGAGGAAAAAGACAGTACACCACTTACATCCTATGGCCAACACAATTCCAGAATGTTTTCAGGTAACTGCACTAATTATTCTTCAACTAAACCACATAAACCCACAAGAACCTTTCAGTAGGAGACAGGAAATATCATACCCATGTCAGTGGGTAGATGATGCTTCCTGGCAATTGGCTTCCTTCGCAATTTTTCCATCGAGTTTGATTTCTGCAGTTGAATTTCTGTGTTGACCACATATTGAACAGTGTCAGTCGGAGCAAGAGGAATGTTTAAGACATTTTATTGCTGGCAGAGCTGTCATGACCCAACTCCCATAAGGGTTGTTTACAACACAGTTTCTGGTAAGCTTCACTGAGGTGGTGCATGACATACACCATGGCCAAACATTACCGATTGGGTAAAATCAGATCCAGTTGTTTCAAACTTCAACAGCAAGTGATCATTTCTCAATAGCAGAGGGTCCAGATCTTCTGGACGATGCAAAGGGTATTCTTGGAACAAATAACTGTTTTTTTTTTGTTTTTTTATGTGAGCATACACATGGCCAGATATGAAACTATGTCACTTCCTTTGGCACAAATGCAGCAATAATGAACTTGTATGAAGTCCTTTTACACATTCAATGTGATACTACAGCAGCTATTTCAGGATTCCCTCCCAGGTACATTTACAATAAATACAAACTGATGTTAACTCCACTGCCAACTTCACCATGTCTTTTCTTCTTCTGTAAATCAGTGTGGTGTCAACAATAATAAATACTACAATTAGAATACTTCCCCTGCGGTACATAAAACCTGTAAGAGTTACTGGAGAAGACATTTCACAGAAAACCTCCACATTCACTGAATCCCTTTTTTAACGACTCTAACTTTCATTTACCCTTAGATCATTATGGAGCTGAGAGCTTATGGGAATGAGTTGGACGGACAATTTTATTATCGTATTTATAAATAAGATGTTTTGAAATCTGTTACCAATGCCCAACATGCAAACTTGTGTAAAAAGTAAAAAAAGAAAGAGAAATGAAACGTGGTATGTTTCGAAATATTGTACTGAAGTGCCCTCATGTGGTGAAAATCGAACATTGCAGCCCTGTCAGAGGGTCTGAAATCACATCAGAAAAAAACAAAAAACAAACAAAAAAAAGCTTTGCATGTTCTGACTTGTCATGGCTTCTTTCTACCAGAGCAAGAGAAATTCAAACCACTTTGACATGTTCCTCTAATTTATAGAACACATTTCATTCCAACAGGACTTATTACACCTTTCAGCTGGATATTGACACTAGAGGGAGTTATACATAACTATAATGGAATATTTTAGATAAGAGTATATTTCTGTGTTAGAATGGTTGAGTAAAAGTTCCAGTTAAGAATCTGTGGCAGTGATTGATGCTTACAGGTGTTTTCCATTGGAATGTTAGACATGAGGATGGTAAACACTTGACTCTTCCAGAAGCTTTCTGTTATTTGTGGAAATGAATCCAGTACCTCAGGCTGCAGGTGTACTTTCTTGTTCCTATAACGATCAAATTGAAGCAAATTGAATGAGATTGTAGAGAATTACATTTTATAAAATGAAAGAATTTTTCCAAGAACATCTCCAAGAGCACTGTAGATGACTGTTAGGAATGTGTGACATTGAAACAAGCTAATAAAAACCAACACTGAGATTTATGCACAGCTCCATTTATTTACACTTATCTTTATCGACCAGATACAACTTTACTCTGCCAAGGCGGAAACTTGCATAAGAAAACTGGTTTTAAAATGTTCCTGAGGCATTTATTTGGTGAGTTAGGAAACATCATTTATCAGCAGACCTCCTGGTCAGAGCAGAACAGCAGCCAATCACAGATGATGTTCCTTCACCAAGAAACTGAATGAGATATGATGAAAACCCTGATGTATAAAATCATGAAGCAGTTTGGTTTACAGCACACACACAAACACACACAATAACAATAATACATTTTTTTTCATTAATCTACCTAAGGCATAACTTCCTTGCAGGTGAACAAATGATATGAATCAGCAATCTCCATTTTATCATTTGGATTACACCGCCACCTGCTGGTTGTTTTTATAAACCCCAGTGAGTACAGCATCTGAATATGCAGTAAATGCAAAGATAGGCATCAAACCTGATGTTACAGCAGGTATGTTCAAATATTCTGACAGAATTTTTCAGATTGTTTTAATATGCTGGGCCTCATGCAAGAACAATAATGTTTATATTCAGCTCTGCTTCAAGAAAAACTAAATATATGGGGACTCCAGCTGTCTGCATTGAAATATAAATGTGTAACATGGCCTAATTGTTTTAATATTTCCAGACAGTCACATTTGTTTTTGTTGTTTAAAAATAAAAACGTCTTTTACTACTGACTGGCAGTGGGCAGCAACTGGTTGGAGAGGGACAGCGCTACATCATTTTATGCTCCTAAAGGATTCAAACCACAGGTAGGGAAAATGTGAGCAGCTTTGAAATCGGAGCTTTTAAAAACCTTTGTAAACCTCGACGCTACAAGATATGAAAAAAAGCAGAAAGCAGAGATATTCCTGTTGCATGTTACCATAATCGTGACTGTGATTAAGCTATATTTTCCTCACACATTTCTTACTTTTGCATCATCACAAAGTCCTTATTGTCCTCCTTGAGCTGTAGCATCCTGCTCACTAAGGCTTATTTCATGTGTGTTAATGAAACACAATGAAAGACCGTCCAGGTGACCTAATATATTATTGAAAAGAGTTTTATTCCACGTAAAATATAATTTATCATATATTGCATCCAAGCAGCAAACACATAAGTTAGCTGAGCTAGTGACTGCAAGTTTATAAGCTGAGCAGATGTACTTTACACCAGCAGCAGGTCTAAGCCTCGTCTAGTGTGGCGACACTAAGGTATGAATCTGATACTCTGCCCCTCACAGCAGGGTAACCAGAAGTCATCAAACACCACCCAAGGAAATAAATTGCCAGTATCCACTCGAGGTTCATGACCAAAGAGAACAAGACTTTTCCAAAAGTTAATTATATTTTATTGTTTCATGTTTGTTTTTTTTTTAAAAATGACAAAACATAAAGAACCACAATAGGAAGTGCACAGTACTGAGGCCTACCAGCAGGGGGAGAGCGGTCCAAATGGGAACTGGTTCCTAAAATAAATCACCCCAAACACTTGTGAACAGGCATTCAATGGTGAAGAAATCCCAACACCAGCCACTCGCACAACACACAGGTCCCTGGAGGCCCCTCCCACTACCTTCAGCTCTCAGCCTGGAGACAAAAGGGTGGGGTTAAACAAGCAAATACAAAAAAAAAACAAACAAAAAAAATACAATTTAAACTTGGCCAAAGACTAAAATGAGGTTACCTCCAACATAACCAATTAAAATCATCAATACTTTAATAGAATAATCTATAAAAACCCAAGGCTGCTACCTGCAGCAAGGCTGGTGGCCACACAAAATAGAATGCTCCAAAGCAACAAATTTAAACTAAAAAAACCCAAAACTAAGAAACCAAACGAGACAAAACAAATTAAACAAAGCAGTTACAAAAATGAAACAAAGTCAACCAATGAAACAAGGTAAACTAAACAAAAAAAATGAAACCAAGCAGTGAAACAAAACAGCAGGGTCTCCAGTGAGCTGCAGCAGTGTCGGAGCAGAGCTGGATGACTCCACCCCAACCAGAGAATCCTTTCCGGCCCACAGCGGGAGGATCAGCTTGCCAATATGTTCCATTTTACGTTAAACTGCACTGGGGAGGGTGAACTGCAGCCACACCCCAGTACCAAGCAGGAGACTTCCAGTGGTTTTGATGTTAAGAGTTTTAGATCTGCATGCTTCACAAGCAACCTTCCCAACAACATGTGACCAAATGCCAGCATAAGGCAACTAGGTGAGAGAGTCTCCCTTTATACTGTCCACCCATCATGAGGTGATTAGGGGCCAGGTGTTTTGAATATTGAGGCACTAGGAACATTAGCTCTCATTTTCAGGTCACTTTACTTTCTTCACCATCTCACACACAATGTCTCGACCACTTCCCCTTGAGCCTGACATAGTGTGTGCATTAAAAGAGAGAACACATCACACTTCTCCTAAATATTGCATCAGAACAGTCTTTTTTTTTTTTTGCAGTACTGTACACACAGATACTGTGATGATAACTGCATTTCTCTATATTGTTCAGCTCTGAAGGAAATGGAACGAGTGTTGGGTCTTTTTACTCCAGCTGCCATGTTTTAATCCTTTCTACTTTTGGTTTGTCCATGTGTCTATTTCTACCCACCAAGAGGATGCTTCAGTGTAATGAAGTAATTTTCCAATGCTCTACTCACAGTCAGCTGTAAGTAAATAGTCTAAATCTGTTGGATTTTATTAGTCACTGAACCCAACAAGGATTCAGAATCAGAACACACAACTAGAGAATAAAAACATCAAAGACAAAAAAATTCAGAGAAAAACGAATGATAAAGGAAACTATCTGAAAACATTCTTCCATGAGGCCCAGAACTCTCCTTTAATCCATCACTCAGGCACTTAAACACAGGTTCACAACCAAACAAAAGGCACACACCTCATTATTATGCAATAGGTAATCTCTAAAAGGAAGCTTTGTTACAGTCTTTGGTGTAAAATAAACGCACTTGCACCAGGAGGAAGGCACGCTGACTTACCAGTCACACAATGAGTCACTGTGAAAAGTTAGTAAATGCAATTCAAGTCCTGGAACTTGGGAGTGGATTCATTTTAAATGGCTTTTCTTTACCTCATTATTCATTATTCCATTTCGACATATTAAATAATTGCTGTCAACACATTTAAATGACTATCATAATTTTTATGGCTTTTATCCTTTCCAGCCAGCTATTAGTTGGTTTCACAGGGAAGCGAACACTGCAGGCGGTCAGCAGGCGGCATGGCCTTTAGAAAAGTCCTGCCACACTTGCAGCAGCTCTGATGGCTTAAACCTGTTCACAATGATGAGTCCGGCAAAGGTGCACCTGTCATACTCCAGCTTTCGAACCTCAAAAAGACTCCTGAGGCGTGACAGGCTGTAGGAGTACACCGGCCGGACCCCCAGCACGCGCAAACACAAGCCCACGTAGACGTCCTCTAGAGGAATCACTCGTACAAACCTGGAGGCCCAGGAGATCCTGGTAGCCAGGTCTGTGGAAAACACGTAGCCAGCTCCAGACACGTAAGGCGGGAAGCTGTCTTCGAGGTACAGCTCCTTAGATAGATACCACTTGCTGCTGGGGTCCCTCCTGGGGCTGCCGTCCCGGATCACCGACCCGGTTATGAAGCCCACCCTGGGGGAACTCCTGAGGCGTTGGATGAGGTAAAACACATTGACGAAAATGTCAGAGTCCACCTTCATGGCGTAAGAGGAGTTGGGGCAATGGTCAGCCAGCCACTTCATCATCATCATCGTCTTTATCGTCAGGTTCTGGTAACTGTCCAAGAAGTCCATCTGGATGATGTCTCCATGCTGCTGACTTTCCTTCTCCAGGACTCTCTGAAGGGGTGTCAGCAGCGCCCCCTTTGGCAGCCCCAAGAAGAAAAGGGTGAGAGTGTTGCTACCTGGAGCCCCCCATGTCCTCCTCACGGCCTGCCTGGCTTCTGCCTCTTGAGGCGCGACCGGAACCAGGAAGACCAGAAAGGGGTTTCTGCCCAGGCACACCTGCGGCTGGTTCAGGAGGTAGCGGTAGGTGAGCGGGGAGATGAGGCGGTACTCCTCTGCAGGAAGGGGGTTCGTCTTGGCGGTGTGTCTGACTGAACCGAGGAGGTAGAGAGCGGAGAGGAGGTAGAGAGCGGAGAGGAGCAGGAGAACTGAGGCACAGAGGAACTTCACCAACCTTTGCATCGCCGCGAGCTCCTCAACCCTCCGTGCGCGAGGCTTTCATGGTTCCCAGAAAACTGCCGCGAGACCGGACACCCCCACGAACTTTTTTTCGCGGTCCTGTCCAGTCCGGTCCGGTCCGACACGGAGAAACAGGAAAACCTCTGCAGGCGACGCAATATCCGACTGAAGCAGAGGGAGGAGACCTTTGAGCTCAGGAAACGGTTGCAGCTGCTGCCGTGGGTGAGGTATGCCCACAGGCAATACTTCCAACTCTAGAAACACAGGCAGTCACTCTCATTTCAGATAAAATCAGTCAGTACTGCACTGCTTTTCGAAAATCGTTTATACTAAATTAATGGAGAAAATGATGCGTTCAGAAAAAAAAAAACAACAAAAAACAAAAACAAAACAAACTTAAACAATGAGAGATATGATGTACACACCTCTGAAAAATAACATTTATTTATTTATTCTCAAATAAATGTTGAAGAAAATATCAGAAAAGTAACACTAAAATGAGTAATACTCACATGAAATTAAGGTATTTGCCATGAAATACCCTGATTTCTCTCTTTTTTTCTTTTTTGTCTTTCTTCGTTTCTTTGTTTCAAGAATAACACTGGAATCTCATTTTTTCAGGAACCTTATAACTAAGTGAAACATTAAATAAGTTGCCTATACACACTGGAGTTGTCTTTACTTCTGTTGATTATTATGGTTTTTTGCTAACAGTTGGTGAAAACATGACATTTAAAATAATTTCAGATCAAAAAAGAAATAATAATAATCACAATACAGGAATGTGGGTTATTTTAAAAGATACTTTCAATCTGACAAATAAGCCTCATCAGGAAGCACATTCAAAATTAATGCATGTGACTCTCTGAAAACCTGCATCTGACATTCACTTCCTATTAATTAAATCTAATATTATGGATATAAACCAGCACCACAGTTCTGGTTTATATAATAATTTAGAGGTAATATTTTAATTTTGTGATTCTAAATTCCAGTCACGTTAATAAGTGATACTCAAAAAGTGTGACAATTTTTTTTATTAAATATATCCTGGACATTTGAGCACTTTGCTGCTCTAAAACACACAGATCAGTACATAATACGCAATGTCAAGATATAAAGATATCAGTAATGACCTAAGTGAAGCAGCTGCTGCTCTTCATCAGTCTGAGAATGCTTATGCAATCTGAGGTTCTTTCGTCTAGAGAAAGAAAGAAGAGTTATGAAAATGGTTCCAGGAAATTCACCCCAGGGTCAGACCATGCAATAATGAGATCAGACTCGGCTGCATGTTGCATATTAAAACACATGACAGGACATGTAGAGAGTCAATAATCAGAATGACTTGTTTGGAAGCATTTCCAGGAGGTCTGCTCTGAAAAGGACTTAAGGCTTCTGGAGTGATATCCTTTAAACATATGAGATGAAAATTTGATCCATGGGGCCATGTTTGGAGAAACAAATATATGCCTGAACAATCACCTGCAGTCATGAGCTTTGGCGCCTTTCTGTTATCGAACCAACCCTGAATTCTGCTGTAAGCTAGAGTAAAATGTGAGATCATGTGTCAAACAGCTGAAGCTCAAACTGGGTCAGCTTTGTAAATAAAGCAGCAGGTCTGCAACTGAGTAGCTGAAAAAGAAAATAAAGTTACTTCAAGGCTGAAATACTGTGATTCTTTACTATCAGGAGAGTTAAAAGCCTTGAGTTGATCCAAAGCGGCTGGATCAAGAAGAGACATCAGATTTGAAACGTTCCTTCTCAAGTGTAAAACCCTTAATAATCAGATCCATCACAACATCGATCTGATTACTTTAGATGTTCTTGACAGAAATAAAAATGCTTCTACAAGCTATTTCATTATAAAGTGCATGTATTCCTTTTCCATTTAACTTTATCTTACAGGTTGGAAAATTATGTTTTTCACATAGATTGATTTTAAGATACTTTGCCATCTAGTAAAGATCAGATCTTAGTGGAACGTTTTTAAAGGTAGAAGCTCAGAATATGATACATCTCCATCTCTTGTCATTTTTAAGGGAATCTTAAGAGAAAAATCTGTGAATGATAGATAATTCTTAAATTATTAGTTTTCAAATTGTTCGTAAGTCTTGCTGACTCATCTATTTAATAATAGATTAAGTAGAATCTAAAAAATTTCTGGCCAGTTAAAGTTTTGTGAAGGTTATTTCTCATATGTTATGCCTTTTTGTGGCTTTACTTGGTTTCAGTAGTAAAAATGATCATGTTACCTGTCCTGCACTCTAAACTGCTGTTAATCGACAAGTTCCTACAAACTGTATTTGTGGGAGGGATTGTGATGTGTAGGTAAAATTGCAGAAATAAAAAAGCAGAACTTGAATCAAAAATCAAATTTGTCTTTCAACCAGACGGTTTTATTCTTTAACAGTTTACAGAGACACACCTGTAGTTCACCCGGTTCTAAACAGACGAAACAATCAAAACAAACTTAATTTACACAGGCATTCTTTAGAAGGTCAGTGGTTTAGTATCCTGCAAGAGCAGGAGGGGGCGTTGGGGTGATGGAAGGGTACAAAGATTAACTAGTTTACTAGTTTTGGCCGGTCCAAACACTAATCTTTTTTTTTTTTAATATCCAAAAGAATCATGGAGACTTTACTATGAACACTGAAATTTAATTAAAATTGGCCTTTTTAAAATGTTTACGTTTCAAGCATCACAAAAACATTCTCTTGATCCACATATAAGTACTATATTCACATTTTGCAAAAAAGATACAACAAAAAAAAATGTAATCACCGCTTGCCATTATATACTGAGTGATAGGTCCTGCCTCGGATTCATGATAGAAAAAAAAAAAACATATTTCTTCCTCTGTTCTTCAACTTGTTTTCAAACAGAATACTGTAGTTGCAGCGTGCCACCTGCAGGGGGCCAGGTCAGGAGCAGAAACGTTGTTGCCTTTCTTGAAAAAATGGGAGGAGACCTTTTTCATTGTTTTTTTTATTTATTTATGTATTTTTTGGCTGCTGGGGGAGGGAGTGGTAGCAGGTTCTCAGGGAGGAATGAAATGAAACTGATTTAGTTAACGTCACATGAAGACAAACAGATGTCGAGTCAGGTGAAGCTCTGTGTGGTCTGACAAATATCTGTTTTCTGATGTGTGAATCAGACATGAACAGTTTTATACAAGCAGCAGAATGAATCACCCAAACTGTGATGTAAACATACAGTTCTGTTGTGTAAGACTCCAGATGCATGAGCGTGATGAGAGCTGGTGTCGATGACTCTACACAACGTAATGCCCGAGTTGTTGGTGCACCTCCCCGCTAACGCAGCAGGATGACAGAGTGGGTTAGAAACTGCTGAGGTGGAGTTACTGTCTTTGGTGTGGGAGTAGACGCTATGTGGAAGGAAATTAAAATGCATTTTTTTTGCATTAACAACCATCTTTAACAGGCAGACCTGTGTGGGGTGGGTAATGGGGTGGGGAGGTACGCTGTGTTTGGAGGGGTCTTGTTGAAGGCTTTGGTTGCTGCAGGGTTGTTGTGTGTGGAGAACGTGTTGGACAGGTGGAGGGGCACACACAGATGTAGTGTTTTGTTGTTGATGATGATGGTTGTGGTGGTGGAGGCGGTGCTCTCCGGGTCATTTAAGACCGTTTCCTCCTTCCTTCCAGATTTCTGAAGTTGGACGGACGGATCTTCATCTCGGCAAACTCGATGGAGTGTTCGTGGCCTTTCCAGTGGAACCAGTTTACGCCCTGAGGAAGAAAGGGCAGGGTAGAGGGATGAGCAGGAACTGAGAGAAAGCAAAGTAGCTTAGTTTCTTTTACAGGTACATGTTTAGAGTAGTAGAAGACAAATTGCTAGGACAACTGTTAGTGCTTTGGCAGCCTCCGCTATCAGTTAGGAACTGCAATACATGCACACTGACATGTAAGGTGTTTAGAGAAGAGGTGACCTTGAAGAGAAGTCAGCCAGAATTTCTTGAAGACACCAATCCTCCTGAATGCTAAAAAAATTGCTAGACTGCCCACATACTCACACAAAACTGAGTAACATCCTGTTCTTAAACCACTGGGTCTACCATACTACCAGGCCACACTGTGGCTCCTCTAGAATTACTTCCCATAAGGCTTAGGAGTGGCTTCATGATCAATTTTGACAATTCTTTCAGAAAAGTATTTGTGACGTCAGACATTGACGTTGGGTCAGATTTATTAAATCTATTTGAGGTCAGGACTAAAGATGAACCTATCTACTTTTTTCGCTTACGATACTGAGCCAATACAGAAAAACAGCCGACCTTTCTTAAAACGTTTCTTGTTTTAAACACAGCCATAAATGTACTGAATCACACATTTATCTGACAATGCTGCACCAGTACAGCACAGTGAAACACACCAATAACTTCACAAGCTTGGTCAGACATGTGAAAACAAGACAACTTTAATCTGTTCTATCAGTGCAACCAGGAGTAGATGAGCCAATGTATAAATAAATAATAAAGGAACTAAAACTGACAAAAACAATAGGCTGTTAATCAAACATATAAAAAATTCACTGCAATTTCTGAACCATTTGAAAGAAGGTTTGTGGAATTAAGAATTCTAAATATAATGTAAAATTAGCATGACATCACTCAGAGCATAAAGCGTAGAGTTAGTCTGAATAGATCTGTCCTTATGGATCTGGTACATTGTCCCTAAACAGATTTCATTTTATTTTTGACTTTGTTTGACCTTTCTTTATATGAGTTAATTGAAAAAAAAATTAAATAAAATACAAACTCAATCTGTCTGTATTGAACTGAACCCTGCTGTACCTTGCTGTGGCTGTTGTCTCCATAGCGACCCATCAGGTTGACCCTGTGACAATTTTTGTACCAAAAGGCTCCCTTATAGGACAGAGCACAGTTGGTCACGGCAATGTCGTTGTCATGGTCATAGGTGGAGAATGGGCGGCCATGATGGTAGGTCATAGAGTCACCTAGGAAACACGCAGATTTTATAAGGAACACATACAATAACATGAAAGTATCTGAGCTGCTCCAGTAATAGATGGCATGTTAATCTGACGGCTCATCAGCTGTTCAGAGGACTTAAGCATTGTTCCTTAAGTATTGAAGCCAAAATAACAAGAGACAAAGGTGTCCGCTTTGCTGATCAGTAATCTTATCTGGTAAGTGCGTACTATGTATGTAAGCACTTTACGATTGTCAGTATGATGTTAACAGAATGATGTTTCAGGAGAAATGATTTGATTCCATTAAATCATATAGTTCAAATCAAATAGTTTAAATTTATTGCACCATTTCACAGCAAACATGCTCTTGAGGCACTTTGCAAAAAAAATCATTTAAATTTAATCAGTGGCAAAAATATACAACATAAGGCAACTGAAGCCTGGTGAACAGACAGTTGGGACAGAACACAGCATGGTGATGGAGATGTGGTTAAAAAGAGGTGATAAAGTTTAAAACAAAGAATCAAACAAAGTGAAGGTGTTTTTAGAATCTTCTCGAAAAACATAAAAAGTAGACTGCTGATGCCTCAAGTGATGGTGGTGTCTTTAATCTTTCGTTCTGCTGCTTTGTTTAACCTGTCAGACTGCACTCCTCTGTAGCCTGAGTTTGTCTCTGATTCAGTAGACAAACTCTCATTCACAACCACTCTGATATTTGTTGAGCCATTCCAATGATCTGTCTTTGATCTGTGACCCCAACACAGTGTTTTGCTGCCTGACTTTGAGACTATTCTGACTGTTTCTTCCTGACTGAAGTCTGGGCTCTCATGATCTGGAACCATTGTGATTAATTATAAGAAAATAAATAATTAACTGATATAAAACAGAAGTGGGCCCCGGGGCTAGAGCCTGGGCCCTATAAGATCTCTGTAACATCTAGCCCAGAGCATCGTTGTTGATCCCTCACTACAAACTAGACTGACTGGCCAAAACCCAATTTTTAATCAACTACAACCAGATACACCAGAATGACTTCAGCTGTTGACGGTAACAGTTAAATGCAGGCTGAAAATTTGGCTAAGCTGAAAGACTTGTTCAAAAATTTCGAAGAAGAAACCATTGCCTTGCACAAACAAGGAAAAAACACAAAGATAAAAAAAGGCCCAGAGTGTTCCTACGAATACAGCAGGAAGCAAAGTTTGTAGATAAAAGGAACAGCGACTGCGCCACCTGCTGGCAGATTAAGGACTGAAAAGGACCTGCAGCAGGACCTGCTGATAGGTGGAGCTGTGTACCTGCCATGCCATAATAACAGTGTTAAATCCTGCTGCCATAAATAAGTCTGTTAACTGGAGCATCAAATGTGGATTAACTTGCTATTAAAAATGCTTCAGTGTACAGTTGTCAAAAAATTCCTCACAAATTGGACTAGACGGTGGTTGGCCCAAAAATTCATGTCTGTTTTTAAGGAGAATCCGACTACCTGGCCTTCATAAGTGATGTAGAGACGTCAGAATAAATGGAAAGTGCAGTTGAAAGCCAGGAGCCCTACCTGCATTGCCACTGTATCCTCCGACATGGACTTTGTAGCGGGTCCGAGGTTCTGAGACAGAGAACCTGTCATACTGAGCGAAGGCCATCTCTCCTTTGTCTCTCAGGTCGACCCGCAGCTCGTACTGGCCTCCAGATGTGATCTTATGCAGGTTGGACAGACCTGAGGGAGGGAAGAGCATCTTACCAGAGTCAGTCACCGTGGGAACCAGACTGATGATGCTGGGTCCCTTCTTCTTTAAGCTCCTCCCTTTAAGCTCTTTCTACCTTCAGCATCATCTGTTCCTGTAACCACAATCCTCCTCTGTCGTCTTCCTGGTCTGCTGCTACACCATATTCAGCATCTTTGTCCAAGATGTTTACCACAACCAACATCCCATCTCCCCAAACTGACTCAGTCTTAACGTCACTAACTCTGTCCTTAAATTGCTCAGCTGTCATTCCTCATGTCCTCATTTCAGTGACTGTGATCTTGAGTATCACGTCCAGTCATGGTGTTAGTTTCTTCTTCTCCAACCCTTCCATCAGAACAGCTTCTACTGACATCATTCTCCATCACAGCTTACCTTTTGCCAATGATTACTTCGCCTGCCTCCATCCTGCCATCTTATAATCTGCATGTTGCTTTGATTGGTTGACCCAGGTACTTAAACTCATCCACCTTTAGTACCCCAGTTTCTTTTAGCCTCACCAGCTGCGTTTCCATTAACCATAGAATTACGGATCACGAGTCACGTGATGAACAGGCGGATGTTACTACTGGTGGAAAAGATGAAGGAAGGAACAGGAAGTACGATGACGGTTTGTTTTGTTGTTTTTTCAGACACCAGCGCTCTAACAGCATCGCACAGTTCATAAAAAGTGGTGTGTCATTCCAACATGTTGAATCCCTTACTACGATTTCCCCAAAACGCAGCATACGTAGCCACTTCCACGTATAAGGGTTTTGCTCCAACGTCTCCCTTGATTGGCTGATAGAGCATGACTGATTTATGAATATATGACATGATATGATTTCAATTCTTATTAATTTCATTTCTTATTTAATGAAAACACAGCAACTGCAAAACTGTGTTTTTTCAACATGAGTAGAATATCGACAAAGACTTGCTGACATCTGTATTGGAAATGCTGCTACTGTTCCACCTCTCTGTCTTAATCTAACATATGGACAGTTTCTTGATTTTACTTCTTATTTTCATTTTGTCTCCTCTCCAGAGGCTCTCTTCAGCAACCTACCGCCTCTCATTACACATTACAGCATCATCAGCGAACCTGGCCATCACCACAGCCAACAGGAAGATCAGGGTCCGAGCTGAGCCCTGAGGTAATCCTGCCTCTTAAAATCGACCCATGTGTGTCCCAGCACACACCTCTCCTCAGCCTCACTGTTATTTTGTCGTCCACCAGTCTTACATACCACTCTGTCACTCCTGACGTCGATATTCAGAAACATTATTCCTTTCTTGATATCCAGTGGTCTGCTATTTCTAGATCCATGAAGACACAGTGCAACTTTAGAATGTTGCTTCTCCATCAACATTGTAAAAAACATCAGATGTATCTTTGGGATCTGTGATGTCTGTTTATGGGACATAAAACCATAATTCTGCTTATTTATCATCACCTTTTTTCTTAAGAATGGAACCCCACAATGACTCACCATACATGGTTAAATTCTAGTTTGTAGAAAATACATTGCTGTACACTAGTGCTAAAAAATAGTGTAATTACATAACAGTAAAGCGCACACTTTATTATTATGCCATGACAAGACATCAGCAGCACATTGTAAGGAATTCCATTTTTAATTGACATCAGTCTTCTTGGAACAGATCTGATCACATGATTCAGCCCAAATCTCTAGGGAATGTAATTAATTTACTATTGATTTGCAATAACTTACCAAGCCAGAACTCATCGTTCATGTCACCAAAACCAGCCGTATAATTCTTCCAGTTGCGGAAGAACTCCAGTCTGCCACTCTGACGTCGCAGGAAAACCTGCAGAACAAACCCCGTATAAAAAAGGATGAACAACCTTTCAGGCATAACTGTTTTAATATCTGTGGTTTCTAAACAACAGCAGAGACAACGATAGCTCTCTAAGATGTTGGTATTTTGATCAGTTTGTCTGCGCGATCAGGGATTTGTGACGACCAATCCAGCAAATTTGTTTATCCTTGTTTTTTTTTGTTGTTTTTTTTTCACTCTGTGACTATTTTGGCCCTTCAATATTTCCTCATGATGTTCTTTGCTAATGATGCTATCTGTTTTGTAATTGCAGTTTTCATTCTGTCTGCTCTACTAGAAAACACCCACACAACATGACGCTGCCACCACCATGCATCACAGAGATGGCTGGCATATTTCCTTCGATTTCCTTCAAATGCAATGATGGTTACTATGACAAAATTTTGTTTCAATTTTATCAAATTACAAGACAAGACTTTGTCTCTGAGCATGTTTGAAAACTGGATTTTTATATGTTTTTCTGTTTTTCTTTCTGAGTGTCCTTCCAGCCAAAGTCATATCAACCAATCAACCTGAAGCTATGTGTTAATGCTGTTGAGTTTGCTGTTTGTTTGATTTTTTTTCTCTCTGACGTTTTATGCTGGATTCTGGTTCATTTTGAGAGAAGAAACAATAGAACCTGAATCCTGAAGTCCTGGGTGACTTCAGGATTCAGTCACATCCAAAAGAGGGGATTTTTAAAATGTTTCCTTTGACTGCAGAATCCACTTCTTAAAATGAATTTTGGGCCAAATCATAAAACTCTCCTACATAGGCACTGGAATATACCTTTATCACATTATTAGGTATTTGTCGTGTTTTTAATAATTGGGTAAGTCAAAAAAATCATGGTATGAGCATTGCAACATAGAGATTCCATATTGTGTACATGTTCATGCCACTGCTGCACAATCTGCACAAGAGCTACTCAAATAATCCAGAAGTGACCCAATGATTAGGTCACTCAATGTTATGCTACATTATGCAGATGCTCTGTCTGCACATATGAACACTCAGATCAACTTCTTCTGATTCATTCAGTGAATTCTTTATTTCATATGGAGGTACTCTAAGCAATACCTGAACTCCATAGGTCAGACAGGACTCAATTTGTTCATTTTTTTTCTTCCATTTTTTTCACCTTTTTAGATACACCAATTTTCATTTCATATAAGAAATGTAAATATTCCTAAATATTCTCAGCAACTGTTCAAGCACAAAACCTGAACAAAGATCCAACTAAAACCATTGAAAGGTGTTTCAGAACCCTGGAGAAAAATATTCCGAGACTAACGTATTTTCCGCACTATTAGGCACACCGGATTATAAGGCGCATAGAATAGACGTTACAGCTAGGGTTGCCACCGTCCCTTTGTTCCGTACTCTACAAATGT